ATCAGTAGTGTTACACTCTTCTATTGTTTTCTTTCTTCTTAACCAATGTTCTAAAACCTTCTTAGCTTCTAGCTTTTGTTTTGCTGCAAGAGTTCTTAAAGCTGTGGGGATTTCATCATTCTTTGCTCGTTCTTCTGCTTCTAACACTTTGTTTCTGAAATGTTCAATTTTTTTCTCAACATATTCCAAATCCTCATGGTCTGGGCCAGGGTTCTCCTCTATTCCAGCTTGTATTAAAGATGAGCTGATTCTGGAAGATCTCTGTCGGAGTGACTCTGAATTTATGGCGCCGTATTTGTCTGCCTCGGAGTTTCTTGGATTATACAGCCAATGTGCTTGTGAACCCAAGGAAGCCAGTTTTTTTAGGTCTTCATGGCACCCAGTTTGCAAATACTGAGTTGCTGCTGCCAGCTTGGCCTCATATGATTGTAAAATGTGTGAGTGGTATGAAGGTCTCCGCTGATACTGTGGGTTCTCATTCCCTTGAGGAACATGAGGCTTTTTTATTCTAGAGCACCCCTCACTTGAGTGTTCATTTGAATCCCTTGGCAAAGAAGAAAAACATGGTGACATAGTACCCTTTTTTTGTTTTGGTTCTGTGAACCTATTTGTATCTCCATGATGTTTCAGTTCTTTCATCAAGTTGTATTCCAGATTTGTTTGGCATGTTGAGGGATTCACATTCTTTGTTTCTGGATGACTTAGTACAGGCTTTGGTTCTTTGATGACTTTGTCCCTCCTCTGCTGATCCTGACGACAGTGGGCATTGTGGATGAGGGTGTGTTTCGAAACGGTCATCGACAGAACTAACTACAGAGGTCTTCTACTACTCCTCCCTCCCGCTCAAGGGTAGAACATCGGGAAGAAGAAGGAACAACCCTCTGGACTCTCTAAGTTTTCGAGGTCCGGTCATTAATGTTCAGGATTCAAATTTTTGGACAATTTGCTTGGATTTTGTTGAGTAGAGCATCTGACATTTGAGAGGGAACAATTTTTTTGTTTTTGACTCACAGAATTTGTCGGGGGCGGACAGCAGAAGTCCACAGCGGATATTCGGCGAATTTTGCCGATAACCCGCCCCCTGAAGCACCTTGGAGTTCCTCCTTGTCGTAGTATCTTGCTCCCAGAAGCAAGCCTCCATCCAAGGAGCTTAGGGACGATTTTTGCGTAGCACTGCACACCAGTTGTACACCAGATTGGGGGAGCCTCAGTAAGCACAAATTCACGGGAATCCACAAGAGGCTCCCCAACAAGAAAGCCCACAATCACAGAAGTAAATGCCATGAGTAGAACCCGACGCATGGCTCTTTCCATTGTTTTCATTGTTTTCTCTTTCCACTTTTGAGCACTGAAGAACACTTTTGCAACGGTCTACCGACCCCTTCATTCTTGAGGAACCTTTGAGTGTGACTAAGGGACTTCGGGTCTTCCGACTCTTTCGTGCTTCAAGTGGCAGCCCGCAAAAGCGGCCTAAGGTGACGAGGACAAGAAGATGGTGGAGCCCTCCACGCTGGAAGCTCCCGGTGCACCTCCAAGCCCTGATTCCTCCTCTTGACTCCCTGGGGTCCGTAAGAGATAACACCTCGAAATTTTCAGCTCCTAATGAATCTTGAAAACGGTGCTTCGTCTTTCCACGTCACAACCGGCACGTTTCAAACACCATCTTCTTCTTCTTCCAAAGTGTGATTTTTGTAAGTGATGGGCAATGATCCAGACATCCAACCAGAAGGGGCGATGCTTCTCAATCCTCAGACGCACAAGCCATCCAAGTTCACAACACTGAACAGCTTCATTTGCTTCGCAAGAACCCGAACAAGCGCTATCTTCATCTCTGCGAAGCTATTCACACTTGCAACAGTGAAACGCACGTACCGCGAAGCTCACCACACTTCACCACCATTCTTGCTATTGCGCCTTCTTCTTCTTCATTCCACTTTTGAGCACTGAAGAACACTTTTGCAACCCAGATGGCTGGGGAAGTAAGAACTCCTTGGAAACTCACACTGATTCCCTGAAGCCCAGAAGGCTGAGAAAGCACGAAGTTCACCGTCTTTAAAATATACGTAAGTTTGACGACAAATATTAGACGAGACGCGCGCGAATCTGTAATAAAAAATTTCCTCAGCGCCAGATGAGTTCGTGGATTTTATATTCACGCCTTAGAACAGCGTGATTTCCTGAAATATATTCACGAAGCATCAGAATTCGAATTAAAACGCCAATAAAAACGGAAATGGCGTGGGGATTTATATCTCTGCATTTCAGACGACTTTTATTGGTACTATTGTGTTGGCCAGAAGTACTGTATATAATCATTCCATTCACATTCAAATACAAAACAACGTCGAATGTCTAGGGCGTTCCCCAGATTTCTCGGCGATTTTTCCATTGCAGAAAGTGCGTTTTATACACTCGAGTATGAAAATATTTATTTCAGTATTCGTTTATTTCGAAGGCCTCATGTTTCATTTGAAAAAAATTACAGATATGCAACAGTTTTATTGCTCCAGAGAAAAGTCTCGTAGAAATGCAGCAAGCAATCATAATTATATTATAAGACTTTTCACAGATTTTTCTGGAGATTTTTCCACCACGGCCGAGAGCACGTCTTATACTCAATTGTTCCTCAACCTTTTTGGGTCCACCTCTTAGACGAGCAATGTTCCATAAAATTTTTGCGATCAGCAGACGCTTTTAAAATACCTGCCATGTAGTCCTCCAAACAAACTGGCATTGAAAACATTATGTTGAAACCCAATGAAAAAGCTATATATAGTGCAATGTCTTAAAAATTATAAAGCTGGGTTCAAAAAAAGGTTTCTCCAAAGAAAAAAACTTGAACAAATATATTTCAACTGGTACAAATTTGTCTGAAGTACTGTATTATAAGGTTAAGGATGAGAAAAGCCAACTTTTAATTTTCATCAGATAATATAAACTTCCATCATCTTTCCAAAGTTGCATATAACAATAACAGACTTCATTAGTACTCATGATAAATTCATTAGAATGAAGAAAATTTACTTTGGACCAACAAAAGACTTATTCTGCGAACGACGGGTTATTGCGGGCCATTATATGTACTGTACTCAAATGTGAAAATTATTAGTTCAGCATTTATCTAATCCAAAAGACCACATTTTTATCCACAAGAAGGACGCAGAGATGCAACAATTTACATTGCTCCAGAGAAAATCCTCTCAGAAATGTACCAATCAGAAGTAGTTCAAGACTTTCCCCTGATTTTCTAAACTTTTTCCACCACATAAAGCGTGACTTATACAAACCTGTAAAAATGATTTGTTCAACATTCGTCTAAATCCAAGGCCTCACGTTCTATGCTTTAAAAAAAAGACTCCAGAGAATGCAAGGGTGTTCATTGCTCCAGATAAATTCTCTCCAAAATTTCATCAGCCATAATCATTGCAGGTGGAGTCTCTCAACAACAAAACTCAGGGGACCAGAAAAAATCGTTGTGGGAGAGAATTTAATTGTTGAGAACCCTGAAACATAGGAAGAGAACCCTACGGGATCAAAACAATTATTTATATGGAGCAATTCATTGTAGACAATTGTTGTGCAGAGAATCCACCCTGTGTAAGACTTTACCCAGATTTTTCCTGGCGGATTTTCCACCGCAGAAAGCGCGTCTTACACTCGACTGTGAAAATAGTTAGTTTAACATTGGTCTAATTCAAATGCCTCATATTCTGTCTTTAAAAAAAAAGACACCAGAGATGCAACAGTGTTTATTGCTCCAGAGAAAAGCCTCTCGGAAATNGGACTTCAATTAAATACTAACTTTGGGGATTATCTCCAGGAAAACTGAAATTATTTCTCATGGGAAAGCTTGTCTCATCTGCACTGTCATGAATACTTTTGGTTGTTCTCTTTAACCTAGCAGACAACGCTTCAAACAGCTGCATCGCAATATACTGTCCCACGCCCTTGCTGCGTGACACACCACCAAGTCATGCCCCAAGGGTTACGCAACCCTTGCCAAACTAGGTCAGATCCTGGTCTGACCACCATTGCAACATACTGTCCATCCAAGTCTATATAGTCACCTGTATTTACTGTCTCGCACACTCATTGTTCTCTGGACACTGTCTGAATGCTTTTCTGCTGTTCAACACAAAATAAAGCTGCCTTACTATTTTGTACTTTGAGGAGTTGTGAATTTACCAATCCCGGCAATAGGAATGAAGAAAATCTCCTCACAATAAATTGTTGGAGTTAGTTAAGATAAACTTGCGATGGTAAGTTTACACAATTGAAGATTTGGAGACATTTGAATTAAAGATTGTGAAACATCTAAATTAACTAGTTCTGACAACAGCACAATGAAAGAGGATTCTCCATGATGAAAACAGGAATCACAATCTAATTATTGAAATTTTTCTAATATGGAATCAGCTGCTTTTTTTTGTTATTATTTGCATTGGCCGAATATAAAAAGCAGCATTTCAGAGTTGCCTCCTTGTCAAATTAAAGTGTATCTTCAAACAAATAACTGCTGCTCTGCTGTCGGGACAGAATCAACAAAGAATTCAGGAAAATGGATGTACAAAGTCACTCAGCCATTAATGGCAAAAAAAAAAAAAAAAAGCTTGTAAGCGTTCTGAGCCAAAAAAAGGGATGAAATAATTTTTTTTGCTTGCTGATGCCATATATTCCTCTCGATTGAGGAAGGATAAACACACACAAAACAGCGCCAAATCTTACATCTATATGCATCAAGAAAGTGCAAACTAAACAAGGAAGAGCATTGCAAATATCACCTCTTCAGCATCAATGCCCATAAATGAAGCCATTTACAATATCCCCATAATCTCAGAATGACACTCAGTATTTTCTTTGTTTTAATTTTGGATTTTGAAAAGATAATTTGCTGGACTAAAAATGGATTCCAAAAAAGAGAGTGAAATTGGCACTGGCATGAAGTTTGCCACAGGTAGTCCTGGTGCCAATGCTTCTTTTTCTTCTGCAGAAGACTGATTCTTCTTGCTTATAGTCTTCATTGAAGTTTACAGGTTTTGATTGCATTTACCACCAGAGTGGGGAAATTGGTGCACACTGGGGATATGTCTGTATAATTCTACACAGTGACCCTGCTGTGCACCAGAGGTGTACCAAAGTTCTTCTTTTGCACATGTATATTCCCAATGTGCACCAATTGTGTGTTTGTTTACACCTGGATAACTCAAGGTCACATTTGTAAACAAATAAGTTACACCAAGGTTACAGTTGGTGCATTTTTGTGATACTCCTGTTATGTCACAATTTGTGCACCAAATGTAGCCCTGAAATGATAGAAAAATTTCAACTCAAGAGGTGCATGCTTGTAATCCCAGAATATCCCATGTATACCAGTTGTGACCCCAGTGTGCATCAGTTTTGGGGTCATACAAAGAATATCTCTCCACTCTGGCAGTTGAGGATTAAGGGGCAGGTCCTTGAATGATAATCAAGTGCTCTACCCGATGCTTCCCAAGGCGGGTCAGGCTAACCATCCCTGGGTACCGACGGTAGTCCATTCGAAAAGGTGCGGTTTGCTTGTGCATGCTTTCTTCCGTTCGAAAACCCCAAGCAAGTAACTGCTCCTTCACTTCGTTTGCTAGCTAGAAAAAAAATGAAACGGTATAAATAAACTAAAGTGAATGGATAAACCCGCCTGAATCATGGAACTTAAACAATAAGGAAAATCCCGTGCATGATTGAGTCGGGAGCTTGACAGTGACGCTTGAACCTCATGCATGAGCGACATCCTCCGATAAAAAGAACAAGCTGTTGGCCTATCATTGTTTCGGTGCACCGTAAAGATTATTTTTGATGTGGACAGATGTCGCGTCATTGCGCCTCAAAAAAATCCGGAAGTGGCGGAAACCAAATGTACATTAATTTACTTTTGGCAACATATTTGGAATCATACATGGGTTGGTTTGTAAATGTTGAAACTTTTCAAAATGGACCCTACAGAGTTCCAACGATTAAACATTTTTTTTTACTTGTATAGCCCTATCATTTGGCAACACTTCAGTGCTGTGAAACATGCTCCCCACCAATTTCAATGCATTTTATCATGCAAGAAATCCAACAGTGCCAAAAATTGAGATATGTTGGTTGATTATAGGCACACTGTGACTTCTGGCTGTTTTTTCCAACATAATTTTGCTGGTTGGATTCATCACAGGGAAAAAATGCATTGAAATTTGCAGAGAGTATCTTTCACAGCACTGCAGTGTTGCCAAATGATGGGGCTACACATGCAAGTAAAAAAAATTGTGGAATTGTTGAAAGTCCCTTGGATCTATTTCAAGAAGTCTCAAAACTTATGAACAATCCATCCCATATAAATCAAGAAGAGCGTTTTTTGGATTCACTGTCAATCAATACACAATAGAAAATGGAGTATGCAGTGAGACCCTGAGATGCGGACATAATTGGTGCATCAAGCATGTCCCTAAGTTGGAATGTCTCCAAGTTGAGCCTTGTTTGCCCATAGACTTGCATTACATACAGTTTAATTGGTGTTTTACGGAAGAAATATTCATCAGAATTCAATGCTAGTTAAAATTGATTCAGTGATTATCTTTCAACTCAATAAGAACATTTGGACCTTTGAATAGTGTACCACTGTTCAGTAAATTTGAATTTTGGCAACTGTGAAAATGACATTCAAGTCACAAATAAAGAAGGAAGTCCCTCTATGCTGGAGGTAATTTTTTATTATTTGCTGAATAAATGGGGAAAATATCCAAGAACTTTTCTTGCATATACAGATCTTAAACTTGGAAATATCTGTTTTGTACAATAAAAGTAATTTGTCCTGAAACTTATTGGTGATTTTATCATGCACCGTCTGGATGTTGAGCCAGTGTCTGCATGTTATGCCTTTTTATTGCATTTTTTATTAGTAAATAAATGTCCTTATGTCAAATTGTTTGCATGTCAAGCTGTCCACATGTGGGGGTCTCACTGTATATATATCACATATTGTACCAGAGTTTCTCTTACATTGGAATTTGTCGCACTGTGCAAACACAGACCATCCTGCCGTGGGAATTTTTCCCAGAATCCCTGGGGCATATCTTGATACGGAATGTGATCTAGTCCAAAAATCCAGGTCGGACTAAACTTTTCGTCTCTATAAATCAAGCACAAACGCTGTGTCTGCTGCTCCATGACTAAAGAGAAAAGAGAAATTATAGCTGAATTTTGCAAATGATTAGAAATTTTGTCCACGTCAAATAACATACTGAAATGCACTCACGCTGAATGAAAAACCAGCAATTTTAAACATGAAAAGCGAAAATATTTCTACACATCACCATTGCATTTTTTTGAATACGCTTCATGATTCTAAGCGTAAATTCGAGGAATAAGTTTACATACGTTTTTCTTTCAAAATAAAAATGTCCGTCATATATTGCAATCGAGTTAAATTCCCATGGACGAAAATTAAAGTCAATCGCTATTCCCCATTTCCTCAATTGAATGGCTTGCGTCGGATCTTGAGTTTGTATTTTTTTAAATAATGAGGAATTTTTTTTAGAAAGCTCATTATGAAATCGAAGGACGCAAATCGATAAAATTTCGAGATGCAGGGATTAAATAAGGGATATTTGGGGATTAATTTTTTTCTGCGTATTTATTCGATGATTGAAATTACTCGTAAAAAATGCACGACGATGAATGACACAGTTTATGAAAAAAAAAGACTTTTGGGCTATTTAAAAGAAGCGTGTACCCATTCACTATAGTCACTTTCACGCACATTTTACGCACATTAGAAAGTTGAACAATTAACAATTGCATGGGAGCCCTTAAAGTCTATTTGCATCAAGTGAAAATTCTGCGAGATCCGTTAGTAATGTTTTTAAATTGTGCACCAGCTTTTACAGTCACAGTTTGCCATTAGAATCACACACTGTACTTGAAATAATTTTTCTAGGATTTACATTTATTTACATTTACATTTATTATTATTTTAAAAAATAAAACTACAGTATATGGACACGACTCATGTCTACCTCTGCCAGGCAAGTGGAAGGGTAATAAAGGCTTGAAAAAAATAAGAAAATAGACTATAAAATAAAAGATATGAAAATATTTGATAGCTGTTGAGCAGCTGGGAGCCCGTTATTCACTGATCGGTCCTCTAAATATTGTTAGTTTATTCAAACATTGGTTACAACATTTGGTGCAAACAAATATAAAATTGAGACAAACAGGAAGCAAGTTTTCATTTGAAGCATTTTTACGTTTCTAATTCAATCGAAATCGTCCCCGGGTTCGCGTCCGGAGAGTCTTGGCAAATCTGCGCGACAAAAACCCGGCTGCGCTTCTTTACACATCGATTGGCTTTTTGCGCAGAGTAAAACAACACACAAAAAAGGTTCGCCAGTTTTCCCTAGAACCTTCTGTTCTTTTCCATCATTGTTTCCTTTTTTCCAGGGCATGGCCCGCTCACCCTGGGCCCGCCCGAAGAGCAATTACGTGAATTTAAAATAAAATTCCAATTAAGTGCCATCATTTGTCCTGGTGCATTTTTTGACGCTGAATTTGGTGTATTGTACTCCTATCAGCAATAGAAAATTATTTTTGCAAGCGTCACTGTCATGGCCAGCGCAGGCCAACAGATGTTGCCAGCATTCTGAGATGAACTGAAGAAAGACTGCAACATGTCCTGGATGCATGCATACAGTACTGTACAGCAAGACCCCCACATGCAGACACCTTGACATGTGGACAATTCAACATAGGAACACTTATTTCCCCATTACTGAAAAAGGCCAAACATGAGGACACTTACTCAACATTGGGACATTTTGTGATAAAATTGCAAATACGTTTCAGGCCAAATTATAAGAAATATACATTTCCAACCCTAAAATTGATGTAAGAAAATTTCTTGGACATTTCTCTTGCCAATGTAACATCTGCTCAACCAATTTAAAAAATTACCTCCAGGCTCCAGCATAGAGGGACTTCCTTCTCTCTTTTACATTGGAATGTTATTTTTACAGAGAATGCCAACATTTCTATGTACTGTACACAGGTATCAGTATTCAATTCCACAAATGTCCATATTGTGTTGAAATGTATTGATTGAATCAGTTTTAATTGGGAGACAATTTTTATTTTCATGGAATTATGGTGAATATTTTGTACATAAAACACCAATCAAAATTTATATAAGTTAAGTCTAAGGGAAAATGAGACTTGACTTAGGGATACTCTTGATGCACCCATTACATCCACATCTTTGGGTCTCACTGTATACTGGTTTTACCCACAATTGGACAAACCAACTACAATATGAGAGGCAACATTCCAGCAAAAGCCAGAAATTGGCAGGAAGTAACCTAAGGGGCAAGAAAGCTGTTAGAGAGGCAACTGGGCCAGTATTTCCAACTAGAGTGTGTATCTATCTATTCCAGTAGGTAGGAGTATATGAACACCACTCAATTCAGTTTTTTGTACTGTGCATACAACTCCTGGTCATATTTCATGTTATATTTTGGTCATTTATCTGAGGGCGTTCTGGATCATCTGCTTGGTCAAACTGCCATGAGGAGGTCTTCTGATGTGTCCAGTGCTTTTCAATTGCAATTTCAAGAATACAAATAGCCAATCAATTGCATCACATTTACAAAGAGGTCTGCTTGATGAGGCAAACCCTTGCATATTTAATCACTGTAAAGAAAGTGATGTCCGCTAATTTTAATGTGTAAGAAACTAACATACAAGGTTCCCTGCTTCAGAACAATTATAGCTGAAAAGCAAAAAAAAAAAAAAATGTCCGCTAATCATGGCAATTGATATCGTTCTTCAGAAAAAAATACACTCTATTGCATAATCCTGTCAGTTTTTCGGGCTATGAGAAATAATTCGTCAACACTTTTTTCTCAGGTTATCATAAAAGTTTACTACAGTATTTTGCATGCGAGCTTTTTTGCAGTAATCAAATTAGCACTATCTACCTTGCCATTTGTGGTTTTTCAACTCTGGATAATACTTTGCGAAAAATAAAGAATTGGTACAAACGCATTTCCCGAAGCAGGTGTTTTGATTTTAATAGCATTTTCTGCAGGTGATTATCCTCGTGATGAAATTTTTGTATTTGTTTCTTTCGCGAACAAAATGAATTGAAATGAGAATATTGCACGCAAAAAAAGTCAGCATTTTTTAGGCGCGAAATCAATGAAACATTTCAAGCAAGCAAGACATTCGGCATAAAATCCATCAATTGAAAAAATTCAGAACTCGAGTCAGATCGTGCATCAAGGGCAACACGTTTGATTCTTTACTTTTGAAATTTGAAAACGTAGGTTCGAGGGGTACTGAAAGTGCAGGCGGAGAAATAAAATCGGTCCTATCATGGGTTGCGTTGTCTCCGTGCCTCAGTTCTGCAGCAGTAATCGCACCCTATTTGTGAAGGTTCCAGAGTACCTGCGACGATCCTCCGGTAGATGGAGCTGTCTTCTCTTGCTTCACTATTGACTCAAGTCCGAGAAGATACTGCAAATTCCTACAGCTCCTTCGGCAAGTTTCAACAGTGCTGAGATTACCCCTTTGACGGATCCTTGCTTTTCCGGAAGTCGTTGCTTCCTGTCACCTCGGTCCGATTCCCGACGTATGAGGCACATGTAGACAAATGACGTTGGAATACAGTCCAAATCCTTATGGAAGAAGAACCGACACATAGGGAACCCTGCGAAGTTCGGAATACCCGAGATCCAGCCATCGCTCCTCCTCATGACTGGTGACGATGAGGGATCGGAGCCAGAGGCATCAGGGTTTTCCACAACTAAGGGTTCCACTCGGAAACCGGCAGCAAGTAGCTTGTCCCACATGTTGTATGCTTTCGTCACTGCTTCCTGAACAACAAAATAGCAGAGTCAGAGAGAGCAAGAGAAAAAATATTGAATTAATAATAAGCCAAAGGATATTATGAAGACGTTAACAAATATATATATATATATATATATGCTAACACCTTGACTTGTGGACAATTCAACATAGGGACACTTACTTTCTCATAAAACGTTGATAAAAAGGCCTGACATGAGGACACTGACTCAATAAAGGGACATTTTGTGCAAATAAGTTTCAAGCAAAATTACAAGGAACAGATATTTCCAACTCTAAAATTGATTTAAGAAAAGTTCTTGGACATTTCTCTCACCAATTTACCATCCATTTAGCTAATTTAAAAAAATTACCTCCAATGTAGAGTGACTTCTTTCTTTCTTTTTCACTTGAATGTTATTTTCACAGAAAATGCCAACATTTCTATGTACTGTACTGTACTTTACATGCAGAGGTATCTGTATTCAATTCCCCAAATGTCAATATTGTGTTGAAATATATTGATCGAATCAGTTTCAAAGTGGGAGACAATTTTTTTTTATGGAATTATGGTGAATATTTTGTCCATTTATCACCAAATTATATTTATATAATGTAAGTGTAAGGGAAAATGAAACTCAACTTTGGGACACTCTTGATGCATCAATTACGTCTGCATCTTGGGGTCTCACTGTATACTCTGTACAGTATACACTCAACAGGGACACCTGGACATTAATTGGACAGCAAGCATGCGCGACATCTACCAACAAGGGAATGAACTGATGGTCCAGCATGGGTTCGATGGGATATACTGCATCATATAGTTGCTGCAATACTTTCATATGCTCTAGCAGGACCATGAGGCTTCTGGATTATATACGGTCCAATCTTCAATTAATTTCGCTTCATGAGAATCATGACATACATTTACAATATGGAGGCTCTCATTTCATTCAATTTAATTGGTGAAACCTATAAGCGATTTTCTCTCACGTCGTCATCTCCGTTTTTCTTGAAAAGCAATACATCCTTCCGTGGGAATTCATTCCAGAATTTCGCAGGCATTTCTCCGAATGGAATTTGATCTAGTCCAAACACGGCGATTCCTCCCAAACCCAACTGACCACCCGTTTTTTCAATCTGTTTGAACCAGAGCAATCTCTGCATCTTTTCCATGACTCGACTTTGAGCAGAACCTGGAAACAAATAACAAAGAATAACACATCAGCCTGCAATTCTTTGTCCTTCTTTTTCAATCCCCACAAGAAATGCATGCATCAGCGTTCAACACGATGGTCTAATGTAAATGTTACACATATGACAACCACTTTTCAAGGAAAACAGCACCACCTAAAAAAGAATGAAACCAGAATTGATTTCTGTTTTTTCTCTATTCACCAGAGAACAAAGCCACAGTTGCAATCAAACATTTGCTGTGAACAAGTTTATACAAAATTCCAAAATTTTGAAGAGTTCTGCTGAGTTTTTTAAAAGTGTTTTTTTAAAACTATGTACTCAAAACTGTATTTTTGGGACAACAATAAAAATATATTTCAAACAGTTTTTAATTAGGAAATCTTAAAACGATTCCTGGCCTTGTCCCAGGCTGATTCTGAGTTTGTTTTTGAACTTTTATTCATTCTTCAAATTTTGATCCACTTACAAATTTCTTCAAATTTATGTTGTGGTAAGTTATTCCCCAACAGCTGCTGCATTCAGCCACAACCAGCCAAGAAAACTTGATTCCTCTTGAGGCCAGTGAGCCTTGCCAAAATCCCATTCTGGCAAGACTCACTGAGCCTCACCCAACAGTGCCAAGACCAAGATGTGTCCAAGGTGGGAGCTATTCTTTGTGTGACCCCACAACTGGTGCACACTGGGGTCACAGCTGGTTTACATGGTCTATTCTGGAGTAACAAGCATCCAACTCTCCAGATGAAATTGTATTACCATTCCAGGGCTACATTTGGTGCACAAAGGTTATATAACAGGAGTACCACACAAATGTACCAACTGTAACCCTGGTGTAACTTATTTGTTCACAAAGGTGACCCAGAGCAATCCTGGCGTGAGTACACAATTGGTACACATTAGGGATATACACTGTGCAAAAGAGGAACTTTGGTACACTTCAGGTGCCCAGCAGGGCCACTGTGTGAAATTACAGACATATCCCCAGTGTACACCAATTTCCCCACTACTTAATGTAAGTGTACTCAAATTTTTGGGTACACTTGCAGATCATCTGCATTAATTAATCTTCTGCATGGCCATTTGTGACATTTTTATTGATTGTGCCAGCAATTTTATGGTCCAAGTCTCCAAATGCAGAGAATCCTGGGCTTAACATAGTTTTTCTGGGATTTAAATTGGGGTTTTATTATCATTATTTTGAATAATAACACTATATGAACACGACTCATCTCTACCTTGTTATAGAGTGGAAGAGTGACAAAGCATTGAAACAAACAAAAAAAGAATGTAAAAATAAAATAAGTAGAACATTTGTTATCTGATTTTGAGGCAGGTTTATGAGCGCTTCACTCATACTGCTGCTTGAAATATAGTTAATTTTTTGAAATGCATGATTACAACGTTTAGTGCACACAATTTAAAAATTGGGCGAAGTAAAATTTAGGTTTTAGAATTTTTTAACATACTCAATCCTTCTCCAGGTTCGCGTCCTGAGAATCTCGGCAAATCTGCGCGGGAAACCCGCCGCGCTGTTTTGCGCATCTGCCATCACTTGGTTATTGCGCAAAATAAAAAAAAAAGGTCGCCAGTTTTCCCTAGAACCTTCTGTTCTTTTCCACTTTTTTCCTCCAGGAACGTGGACGTCTTCAATCCAATTGAGGCAGCATTCCGTAATCGAGTACATTTTTGTGATCCAAATAACCAATTCAATAAAATTGTTGACTAATCAAGTAAATTTCTGAATCTTCAGAAAAATACTCGGTTTTAGACAGATTCCTGTTCGGAATGCTGCCAAAAAATCCATCAAACTTTTATTTTTTCAAAATATTTTAGTCTTGTCGTACTGCAAGAAAGGTTACGAGAATCCCATGCGAAAAAGGTAGTTCAAGTACAGCAGTATACAGAGAAATAAGAGACATGGTGCAATTTTACGTAATAAATTATTTTATTATCATAATTTTACGAAGCACTTGTATCAATTTTAATCGCACTTTTCCGTAAGCATATGTTGTTATCATCGCGAGAAAATAAACGGACAACAAAACAGACCCCAGCCATTTTTCATACAGTATATTCAAAACAGGCATTTAGATGAGAATATTGCGCGCGCAAAAAAGGTCAGCGATTGTCAGCTCATTTTCAAACGCAAAATCGGTGAAAAATCTCAAGTAAAGCAGCAGACATTTAACCATGCCTAACCCATCAATGGAAAAATTCAGTATACCCCAGCCAACTCATATTTCAGGGCGACATGATTCTTCACTTCTGAATTTTTAAAACATAGGTCCCAGAGGAGAAAGTGCAGTTGGTAAAAAAGATTGATCCCAGGGGTTGCGATTCTTCCGGCCCAAGTTCTGCATTAATTCGTAATGAAGGTTCCACCTGCGGTGTTTCTCCGCTAGATGGAGTACTGGCATCCTCTTGTTTTCGCTGTAGCTTGACTGGCTTCATCATCACTGCTGTTGATGGTTTAGTATCAGCTCTCAGGGTTTCTCCTTCGCAGGATGCCAGCATTTCTGGAATTTGCCGTTTCATGGTGGTTGTTAGGTGGGTCATGTTTTCCCTTCCTGATCAATGTAAAACCCATCAATTGGTGCATGAGAAAAAAATTCTGGCAAAAAAAATAGCAAAGCACAGATTGAACAAAACTGAACAATTAAATTTTATGGGTACCCAAACAGATTATTCGCGTTACATAATTCTGCCTGGTCATTTGTGATATTTTTATCGATTGTGCCAGCGATTTTATTGTCAAATTTTGCAATGAGATTCATGTGCTTAGAACAATTTGAACAGGATTTTTATGGGGTTTGATTATTGTTAATTTAAGGATTAAAACTATAGATATGACTAATCTCAATCTTGTCAGACTAGCTAGAGAGTGGAAGAGTGAACGATTGAAAACAAAAAAATTGAATATCAAATCAAAGAAGTGAAACATCTATAGGAGCACTTTACTGATATTGCTGCTCTAAATGCTGTTAGTTTTTACAAATGCATCTTTACGACAGTTCAGTTCGCAAAAATAAAAAAATGAGATCAGGAACAAAAAGAAGAAATTCAGTTTTAGAAGATTTCCTTACTCAATCAAAGTCATATAACCAGGCTCGCGTCCTGAGAATCTTGGCAAATCTGCGCAGGAAACCCCTTGCCCCTTTCTACGCACCCACCATCACTGGGTTATTGCTCAGAATATATATTTAAAAAAAAGGTTCGCCAGTTTTCCCTAGAATCTTCTGTTTTTCTCCACTTTTTCCTCCAGGAACCTGGACTCATTTGATACAATTAAAAGCAGCAGCAGTAGCCTTAATAATCGAGCAAATTTTTTACGATCCAAATAACCAATTAATTCAATTCAAAAAATGTCTACTGAACAAGTAAATCCCTGGATCTTCAGAAAAACACTGGATTAGACGGAATCCTGTCTTGAAATCTGAAAAATCCGTCAACCTTTTATTTTCGCAAAATATTTCAGTTCTGCTGTAACGTATTGCAAGCGAGGTTACGAGTATCCCATGCAAAAAAGGTTGTTCAAGTACTGGGAAATAGAGAAGTGGTATATTTTCAAGTAATGAAATTTATCATCATACAATTTTACGAAGCACCTGTATTGATTTTAATCGCATTTTTCCATAAGTGTATGTGGTTATCATCGCGACAAAATGAAAGGACGAAATATGAGAGCCCTGTCACATAGGGTATATTCAAAACCGGCATTTAGATGAGAATATTGTGCGCGGAAAAAAGGTCAGCGATTGTCAGGTCATTTTCAAACGCAAAATGGGTGAAAAATCTCGTCAAGCAGCAGACCTTCAACCATGCGTAACCCATCAGTAGAAACATTTTGCATACCCGAGCCAGCTCATAATTCAGGGCGACATGATTCTTCACTTCTGAATTTTGAAAACATAGGTCCCAGGGGATATAGTACAGTTGATAAAAAAGATCGATCCCAGGGGTTGCGATTCTTCCCGCCTCAATTCCGCATTAATTCGTGAAGGCTCCACCTGCGGCGTTTCTCCGGTAGATGGGGTGCCGGATTCCTCTTCTTTCGCTGTGGCTTGACTGGCTTCATCACTGCTGTTGATTGTTGCTGATGGTTCAGTAGCAGTTGCGAGGGTTCCTCCTTCGCAGGATGCCGGCATTTCTGGAATTTGCCGTTTCAAGTCATCCTTTTCCCGACGCACAAGGTGCATGTAGGCGTAGAATTCGTAGTAGCATTCGGCTATGTTGTTTTTGAAGAAGTCACTTAGCTTATCTGCTGGAGATTTGCTGCCAGTAGAAAACAAGGTACTAGGAAGATCCGTCCCAAGCGCATTCAGTCCCAAACGGTAAGCCCTTTAATCCCCTTTGTCATTGGGGTGGCGCGCCACCCAAACTGACCAGCTTAATTCTTTTGTTATTTCTTGGAACCCGCGGCAGCTTTCCCTGACTTTTGGCGCCATATGAATTTTGGAACTTCTTTAAAATTTTTAAATTGTGTTCCCTCTCAAAAAAACGAAGAAAACGATACCAAATAACATATACTTCGAAAATTTTATAGGAAGCAGAAAAAAAAA